ATAACATCTCTAACTGCTGCCACCATGTACTTACATTGGAGAATTTCCTTTGAGTAGCCAGAACTCAAGAAATTAACCAACGTAAGGCTGCGGATGCTTACATCAGTGAAATCCTGCTGCTTTGCTGTGTTTCTACATATTCCTGGATTGTAAGGAGCCACTGGATACTTTATTAGTCATTCAGAATTGGGTACATATTGACTATAGGGTGTAATGTTTTAACAATGCCAAACCCATTTACGTTCTCTTTGTAATGGAGATAGCTGTCTTCATAGCTTGTTTCTGAGAATTTTGAGGTTCACAACCTTGAACCAGTTTCCAGACATCAGTCCATCTGTTGACTTACACTTTCAAAGCAAATGAAATTTGTGTTTATTCTCTCAGCTCTTGACCAACTGCTTTTGTGAACAGGTCAGAACTGTGGGATGGCAACTGGACTCTGGTAAAGTTGTAGACCTACTGCCTCATTTTTTGGACTTTTGAACTTTTGGACTTGTTATACATTTTCAGACTCTAGGCTACAGTTTTGCATTTGCTGGTACAGAATCTGGTGGTTTCAGAAAGATGTTGGGAAGGCAAAAGCAGGGTGTATTGATTTGCTGTTTCTCTGCAGTTTGCTGAACATTTCAAGTCTTTAATATTTTTCTCTTAAATATATAGATCTAACATGCATCTCTCTATATATCACCAAATATATTTGACAAATCATTAAGACTGTCTAATCACCCCTTTGAAAGCACAAATACAGCACTATGTGAAGAATAATCAATATTGGTGTAAAAATTGAGGGCTACATGGTTAATCCAAAGGAGCATAAATTGACAGAGGACAGGACCTTAGTCAATATTTGCAAAAGATATTTGGCCAGATCTTGTTATCAGGAGATTATCACGTACCATTATTTATTCAGAATTCTCCAGATGAAGGCTTAGCACCAGGCAGGCAGAAAGTGGAGGCAGGAACAGTGGTCTGGGGATCTGAAGTGGCTGTGTGGTAAGCACATTGGTTCTCACATCTAAGAAGGTGCTGACGAAGGTTATAAAAGCAGAAAGCAGAATCTGTCACCTGGGCCTGTACTGCAATCATCAGCTCTCCAGAGTGGAGCCCAAAGGGAGTCTTGCATGGAAAGCCCATCTGCTGTGCAACTAGGCTTGAGGTCACTCTGATAAGAAAGATACAGCCTGGCCCTGGGTCAGCTGCAAACCTGGAATATACCCTCAGGATCGTTGCTTCATTCCTAGTTCTCCATCCATTTTCCTTTTTTGATGTTTTTGGTTGATTGGTTGGTTGGTTGTTTTGGTACAAGGAGTCAAACTCGTGACCTCACACTTGCCAGGCAGGCTCTATGCTACTGAGCTATATCCCTAGCCCCACCATCAACTTCCTTTTAAAATGAAAAGCATTCTCCGTGGTCTACCTAGCTCAGATTGGCTGGGGTAATTCAATGAGAAGTGGAAAGTATTTCCTACATTACCCCACTGAGAGGTGAGCATTATTATTTCCCTTTTCAGCTGAGGATCACAGGCCTTGAGAGGTTAAGTACTACTGTGCAGGTCAAGTACTTGGAGGTGGAGGAGCCCATGTTTGAACCCCATACATCTGGCTCCACCCTTATGTTGCATCAGATATTCCTCCGAGAATTTAGAAGTCAAGGGGATCATTGTCACTGAGACTAAGGCATGAGAACAACCTTGGCTTCTGCGGGGAGCTCATGAGGAGTTGCATACTACCTCAGCTGACTGCATCACCCGCTGCACTTTAATGAGCTGTCCAGATGATTTCTGCTCACCCTCACCTTCGGTTGTGGAAGAACTGAGATGGGGCCAAAAAGTTTCAACATGAGATTACAACAACCATGCAGGAATCATCATAATCCAATAAAATGCTAGAATCCTGTGGGATGAACAAAGAAGTGGTACTCACTGGGAAAGTCTGAGAAAGGGGTAGCAATAATAGATTGCAGACTTGCGGTCTGAGCGCTCTCCTCATCTGAGAAAGCCCTAGACGCTCTCACCCCAAGAGAATAGGTTTTAAGACAGGAACATATTGTTTTTGTGGATTTGTGTGTGTATGCTTAATTTTCAAAAGTAACAGGATTACTTTTAAAAATGAAAGAAGAACAATCAGGGTGAAAGACTTTATCCAAGTTGACACCGCCCAGCAGAGGGAAGCTTTCGTCTTCCTGGCCTTTGAAGGTGTCATGCATTTCATTTGTTTCACTAGCAGTTTCTGTGGTGCGACACACACACCAAGCAGAGTGGCCAGTTAGGTGGGGGAAGGTCCGAAGTATCTTTTATGTGAGTGTTGTTCTCGCATTAAATCCTGTCTTGGTGGATTTGGGCTGCTATGGAAAAACACTATAAACTATTATAATGACAGAAATTTATTTCCCATAGTTCTAGAGGATGAGAAGTTGAAGACCAAGATGCTAATAAATTCAGTGTCTGGTAAAGGCTTGCTTTCTGGTTCTCCGACTCTTCACATGTCTTCAGATGGTAGAAAGGGCAAAAGGTCTGTCTTTCAGGAGTCTTGTAAGGGCACTAATCCTATTCATGAGGGCTCTACCTCCATGATCTGATCATCTCTGAGAAGTTCCACATCCTAATACCATTACTTTGGGTTTCAACAAGGAATTTTGGGAGGACACAGATATTCAGATCATAACAAATCCTAAGGTCTAACTCAGGAAGGGTATTTATTTCTTTGATACAGTGAGGTGGGTGTTTTCTGTTCACAGGCCCTGCAGGAAACAACAGATAGGAAATGCCTGGACCAGTGACTAAGAGGTCATACCTATAAACCAGAGCTGCTACAGGTAGCATCTGTTCAAGTGAAGAGAGTCTCAGCCTGGACGCTAGATATCCTGTAGAATTTGATTTTGAAGGAGACTGCCCTATCCAGTTCTATCCTCCCTGTCTCTCCCCAGTTTGCTGTATTGAGACTGTATAACACTCCCAGGGGAGCTGGGAATTCTTTCAAGTGAAATTTTTAACCCACATTGTCATGTTTTAACCTTGAAATTTGTATTTACTATATTATTGTTTGTTGGTCTTTTTTCTTTTCTTTTTTTTTAAATTTTATTTAAGAGGAAAAAGAGAAAAACACAAAACAAAACAAAGCGGTGTAAGGATACACGTAATACAGAACTACAAAAAAAAAAAAAGCATAACAGTAAGAAATCACCTGTTAATAGATTACATATTATCATCTTGGAAATAGTTGCTCAAGTCACAGTATCAAAGAATACAAAGTGGACATTCAAACAGAGAGACTGCAAACAGCTGTGTTCAGTGATCCAAAAACATTAATATAGTCAGCTATTTAACACCCCTAAACACACTTGCTGTTATATCCGTTAGAGCTCTTTTTTTTCCCCTCTCTTTTTTACAACAAAATTTACACATTTTGGATTTTATTACTCCTTAGTTCTTATTACTTTTTTTGGGGGGGGAGAGAATAAAGTCAAATATGGCAAAACAAAGCTGTCAGTCAAAAGCAAGGATAGACATAGCACATGGTGTAGAACAGAGTACAAGGTTATCAACAAAGGTTATCAACGTTGTCTCTTGTTTCCTTAAAAAGAATTGTCTATCTCATTAGATATTATAAAGTTGGACAAAACAGTAGAGAACAAGACCATTAAAACTTAGGCATTGTAAACATTACAGGACTTCCAAAGGAGACAATAGTCAAACCAGAATGGGCATCTTAGTGAATCTTATTGCCTTCAAAGTAGTTGCCTATACCCTCAAACTTGATACTATCATACAGAATGGAACAGAGTCTAATCAGTCAAAACAAGATCAATCGTGGGAGTATTACAGGACTTCAAACTGAGGAATGGATAAAAAAGTTGTGGTATTTCTATACAATGGAGTATTATTCAGCTATAAAGAAGGATCACATTGAGATATTTATCAATAAATGGGCTCAGCTTGAGACCATACTCATAAGTGAAATAAATCTTTTTTTGTTTTTATCGGTACCAGGGATCAAACTCACGACTGCCTGCTTGCAAGGCAGGTGCTTATGCCGCTGAGCTAAATCCCCAGCGCCTACTATATTATTTAACCTTTATAAGTCACCTTTCTGAGAAACAGAATCTAAGAAGTATACCGATTCCCTGAGTCAGAATGCTATTTGTCCACAGCTCCAAAAAGAGTCAGTCAAGATTGTTAAACCTTGTTACTGCCCTGTAGGGATTTATGATTTAAACGAGTGGTAATGATGTATAAATTAATGTGCTGGCATGGAGAGGTGTGGACTGGGTATGATAGCGGCACAGCCAAGGCTTTGAGCTTCTCCTCCACGCTTACCCCTGTCTTCATGTACCAGCTTCACTTCTGACAAACCACAATAGAGCTGGCTAAGCCAAGTGTCATATGGTCTACCCTTCTCTGGATTTGTGCTTTGTTTTAATTCTTCAAAAAGTCTAGTTGACGGGGCTGTGAGTCACAACACCAGCATCACACTGTCACTTCTAATATCACTCCCTTAACAATTTTTGAAGTCTCAGGCAGAAACCTTGATTGTGAAAAAAAATTGCACCTTTAAGTTTTGATTCCAGAGGTAATTTCAGCTCAACTGAAAACAATTCTAGAAAGTATGAAAGAGGAACCATTTCTTCAGTCATCCTTGGGGTTGGGGGGAGGGCTGGAGTCTTCCCTCCTTTTGCAGCATTGGATTTCAGAAATAAAGGATGTTAAGGCTGTACTGAGAGACAGGAACTAAAAGAGAAAGACAACTACAGAGGGTTCCGGACTGGACTGTGTAGCCCAGCCCTGTCTTTCCTCTCTCCCCTCTCCCAGTAGCAAACAGATGCCGTCCATCACCTGTGATGGACTGGGAAGGCTGGGTATTGACAGTCTTAAATAAAGCACAATAAAGCTTAACGGTTTACATCTCCTTGTTTGGCTCTGTCAATGTTTTCAATGGATCGCCTTCTGGTGCCGGTCCTCACACTGCACTGACTCCTCTCCTCCTTCTCTTTTCCTTTCAAGCCTGCAAACGTAAAGAGCAAGAACCAAACAAAGACAGGAACAATTCCCAGAAGAAATCCCGCCTGGTGTTCACCGACCTCCAACGCCGAACGCTCTTTGCCATCTTCAAGGAGAACAAGCGGCCGTCCAAGGAGATGCAGATCACCATTTCTCAGCAGCTGGGCCTAGAGCTCACCACAGTCAGCAACTTCTTCATGAACGCCCGGCGCCGCAGCCTGGAGAAGTGGCAGGATGACCTGAGCACAGGGGGCTCCTCGGCCACCTCCAGCACTTGTACCAAAGCATGACAGAAGGACTCTCACCTGGGCACAAGTCGCCTCCAAATGAGGAAAACAGAAGCTAAAAGAAAATATTAAGGAAAAAGACACCAGATACTTAGCTGGGGCCCTTCACTGGTGATTTGAAAGCACAATTCTCTTGAAAATAAACTTCTGTTCTAGCTGTAATCATAGGCCAGGTGTTCTTTTTTTGTTTTTAATGGCTACAGAGTCTGAGTGCAAGCTGAAAATTAATCTCTTTGAACCAGACACTGTCTTCTGAGCATGCTAAGCAACCCAGAAACCCAAATGGGGCCTTCCTGGAGCCGGTTAATTGCGGTATGATGTCAGCCAAGCTCAGGATTGCTGAAAGTGTCAACATAACCACTTCGGGTCCTGTCAGCCCCTTACAATCAGAATCCCCACAGGTACCAGTGAGAATTTGGCCCATTTAAGGACTCTGAGTTTAGGCTTCCAAGATACTACAGTAAGAGAAGACTCTAGTAACAAGAATGACCCCATTTGCTTTTCAAGTGCTTAGCTTCATTGTATCACAGTATTCCAAAGTTCACAGCCATACCATTTAAAATTTCAGAATAGTAATGACTGAGCACAAGTTTTAAATATGGAAGTCTAAAAAAAAATAAAAGTCCAAGGACCTGTTTTCCAACTCAGGCATCTTTTCATTGAATGAGTTAGAAAGCTTTAAGTTGATCCAGTTTACAGTCTTTTCTTTACCTCCTGGAAATCTCATATGGTCTTGGATCTGTCAAAAAAATCAAAAAACAATGGATCATTTCACTTGAGCTCAAAATGTCAAGCACAACAAAAATAAACAGAAATAAGGAAGGTTCTGGATTCATTGCATCTGGATTTTCAAGACGCCTGTTAATGAAATCATTGAGAATATGGCTTCAAGCACATTTTGCAGTTTGCTACAAATTTTGTTTGTACGTAGTGCAGATGCACACTCAGGAGGCCAACTTAACTGTTACAGTGTGTGGAGCAAATGTGGCATTTTAAAAGATCTAGATTTGTTTTAACGATCATTAATGTGTCCTGGGTTATCAGTCATCTGGTTCCTCCTATTGTGCATTTTATGACCACCACCTAATTCATTCTCATTCTTTCTAATTTATGTTGTTCACGCATCCATCCCATTAATAGGAATATTCCTAGTGTTTTCTAGAAACAATAATAAATCAAACTATTATACATGTTGCTCATGACTGTCATCTAGTCTTAACTCTCTTCCATTGTTGACTCATCCTTGCAAAACAACTGAAAAAATCTGGAGAAAACACAGCACACCAAAGAAGCAGAATACTGCAAACCAAAGACATTTATTACTTGCCATTTTCTAGCCTAAAAATACTGTGATTACTTTTAGAAATCGGAAAACCTCTGCAACTCCAAATGGCATTCAGCTCTTGCATTTGGCTTACCATCAGGCTGAGCAGACCAGCTATGCCAAGGACGTTAGCCAAGCCACCAGGCAGTGGCTTTACCACGCCAGCACAGGGTCCTGGCTATCACCTTCCCTCAGAAAGCAGAAGAGCACCCACAAGCTCTGGGAGATTGCAAAGGTCAGATGTGCATATTTACCAGTGAACGGCCCCAGGTGGGCACCACGGGGGTGTTCAAAAGCTATAACGATTCTTTACAGACACTTAAGACTAACTTTTTTATGAATTACTTAATCGAAACCAAAGAAACTTTTTCTGCACCTACTTCTGCAACAGAACTGTCCCATTAAATGAATAAAGAAATCCGTGAATCAATGGAAATCACCATCAACAAGAAGGAAGCATGCCAGAAAAAAAGAAAACCCACAAAAACCAAAAAACAGCAAGACACACTGTGTTCAAACAGACCTCTTGGGACATTTATTGGAAGCAGATTTGAAAGAAAGGGTTGAGACAAGAATTAAAGTAAGGAAGAGCCTGAATGGCTGCTGCTTCATTTGACAACTCACACGGTAATCTTAAAGTTGAAGATTGTCTTTAATTTGTGCCTATGCAGTTTTTCAAAAGAACACGGAACAGAGCAACAGAAACCTCAACAGCTACAATACCAAAGATGAGGATTTCTCACACCTTTTGTTTCAGTTCATTATCTTCTTTTGCCTGGCTAAAATACTATTAGCACCATTGATCTGTACAAAGGTAATTAATTTTGTTTCTCTGAGCAACAAAAGGAAAGGGTCATTTATTTGATTTTATTGTTTGCTTTTAATTTTGTTTTATGGCTTTTTACCCCAATGTGGAATCTCTCAAAAGGTTCCACAGACTCCAGGTGTAAGATGTAGGGATACTGCATGATTCTCCTCTCTGCCCAACAGAGCATGGAGAATGATGTTGTCACTTGAATGTTTTATTCTTAACTCTTAGACTTGGTACCTTCTATATTCAGAGTCTCATCATCAGGGGAGGGAAAAGTAGCGAGGATCAGGGGTAGGGGTCTTCTTGACACATCCTCTCCTGAACTACAGAACCAAAGAATTTGTAGAGGAATTTACAGCCTGATCTTCATGTAATTGCTACATCTTAACAGGGCTTCATTTGTGGGTGGGGGAAACATGTAAAAATAATTGCCAGTTTCTACTTTTCTATTAGCTTTTTAAAAATCAGCTGTAAAATTGCATTTCTAAAGAAATATATATATAATATATGAATACATATATAGATCAACTAGACATTGGTGATAACCCAAAATTTTTGCTCAACCCAAATTCATGCCATGTTTTTGTCATATGCCTCAAGCACTGAATATTCAGTTCAGAACTTTGCTCGTTTCTCATGCCATTCGAGGGTTAATTTGCCACTGTGGATAATTTGGTGTATTCTGATTTCTATGAAAATTTCTAGGCAAGGTCAAAAGTCAAGTTCAAGCATTTCAACATTTAAACTGTTGATACTTGGACTTGTAGTATAAATGAGTTTTATTTGTATTTAGAATCATCTCTATTCTATACCTAAACCATGATCAAGATGGTGAATAGGGTACATCTACCATGTCAAACTGGGCTGCTGCTGTGTAGGCTTATCTTCTGTAACTGGAGAAAGGCTCAGTGGTGCATTTCTACCAGCTAGGGCACATGAGGGCAGCCCAGAAATCCATTCATGCTCCAGGAGATGCTGCCTCCATCAGGGTGTTCCAGAGCCCCCTTAATGAGCAGATCCACCAAAGACTTCCCATGGGGACATCCATTTCCTGCTGCAGTGGGCTGATCAGGTTTCCTCAGGGTGGTAATTACCAATTTGCATTGACAAGCCTGTGTGCAACTACAGCTGGCACTGGGTTGGGATAGTGGTGTTGGGCACGTGGGAATTTCACTCCTGGAGAGAAAACATGAAGCAGGTTTTGGTGAGAGTTCCAGAGTTCTACGCCTGAACCACCCCATCACCCACAGTGTCACCTCCTCACCCCTACCACATAGGTTGCCCTTTGTAGGGGCTGCAGCCATCATGCTGTGAGAGAACATGGCTCTCCATGGTTTTTGTGATATATCCCACCTATGGATAAATTGACTTTCCCCCTTGTATTCCTTTGTCCCTTGCTCATACTCCATGTATAGTTTGTCAAAGGGTCAAGGAAAAAGTATATTTCAGTAGGAGATTGTTCCCACCTAGATTGACAGAGATGAATTTTAAATTGGGCATTTCTAAATGAGTCCTTGTCATCTGTGGCCAATGGAAAATGGTTGTTCTTCTTGAGAACAGGTTGAGAAGCCAAACCTGTTGGTTTGGCCTGTGATTCTTTGACACACTAGTATTAGTATCTGGGTCTGCCATCTCCTAAAGAAGTGGAGGCCAAAAGAGGCTGACTTTGTGGCTTGATATTTTAATACTGGTCAAACCAGTACTCTAGTGATCAAAGGAAGATTTCATTATTTCAAAAAAGCAAGAATTTCCCTTCAAATACTCTTGATAAATGTTTCATACCAGATAATGTCATACTAGAAAGAAATGCTTGCTTTTTTGAAAAAACAATTTTTGCATCTATATATAAAAATATGTGTACATCTGTACAATTATATGTCCAAATTCTAGGACCTGCAGAATTTCAATATGTTAGAAATCTGGAAAATGCTATATTAAAAACTTACAGAATTTAACCCAGTGAGTTGAAGGATTTTAAAAATTTATTGTAAATTAATAATTTCAAAGAAAATAATCACTTGGACTTGGTTATAGTTTAGAATCCATTTCTTCAATTCAAGAAAAATTCTAGGCATGGCTCAGTCATTAGCAACAAAAGGGGTGGTAAAAAGGAATAGATCTCAGAAATTTAACTTGTTTGAGGCAACAGAAATCCTAACGCTCATAACTATTGAGTCAAAAGATATTTTTCTTTATGACTTTACATAATTAGGCTTCATTTTTGTTCTTAATGTGATTTTTGGTACCAAGAATACAATCTTTTCATTCAGGACATTCAGAAAAAGCAGACCTATACATTTTTAAAGGAAAATCCAACAATAATGAAACTCAACATCAATATTTAAAAAGTTTACCCCAAACTGTAACTGTTTTTAGGTTGTACCAAAAGAACAGGCCACCCTGAGCCAAGAATTCAGCATGATCCTCTTCTCTGGAAAAATCACAAATTGCTTGTATAGCAACTCTTCTCTCATAGGCTCTTGGCAGTTGTGGGCTTAGGAAATTCAAGCTCATGTTCATTTTAAGCTAAAATAAAATCAGATTAAGATGGTAAATATGGTAGGCACACACACACATGTTTCTAAATCAGATGAGAGCAGACACATTTAGGGTGGTGTGCCCATAGGCCCTAACTCAAATAATGTATTTCAAAGTCCAGTACAAATACTTTTAAAATAATCAGGCATTTTACCTTGTCTGTACTGAGTACCCACCTTTTGATGTCAATAAATTAAAATTTAGCAGATTTTTAAAAAGTCACAGCTGTCTAGATACAGAGAGATACTCTTTTGAAAATGTTGGTAGCCTTACAGGAGTGTCTGTTTGACTGTCATTATTAAAGTATCATTACGGTATGCCTCTGCAGTGAACTTTGGATCTCTTGGGTCTTTAGGAGGTTGTATAATTGGAATTTTTCAAAATCTAAGGAGCACAGACGGGGTTCCAGTTTGTTGAAGGATAACTGGCTCCTTAAAAACTGGAGAAAAAAAGAGATGACACCTGTGGTTAAGATTGGCCACAAGGGCTTTGACAGTAACCTCTAGATTCATAGCAGATCAGAGCTGACTTTTGCTATTGTTGCTGATGCTCTGATTCAAGCTTGTAAGCCTAACTAGGAAAGTGAGTGGGAAATGGTAGAGGAAGAAAGGATAGAGCTGGTGTAACTTTAACTTTCTGATACTTATCTGCAAAACTAGACAGATTAATAATTATGACCAAGTCATCTCTGAAATAATAGGAGATTCCAGTTTTAAAATAAAGCTTCAAAAGTCCATAGTAAAGAACGGTATCCTAGTTGGCTGTATAAATTTTGCAAGATAATGTTGGCTTTAAATATGGATGTTCCAGTGCCTATTGTCTACCAATGACTTGTTTCTTTCCAAGATGGCCAGGGTAGAAAGAGAATGTTTGTTTTAGAAAACCCTAAAATATTTATGAAATACCAAAACCATTATTAAAATAACATAAGACCTCATATAGATGCAAAATTTTTAATTGAGGTTGGTGGGCTCTGGTGTGAATCCCACAAGATTTTAAATACTCATTGTCCTCTGATTCTGACAGTCTGAGGCAAGTGAAAAACAATACAAGCTTTCCCTTGTAGGTGTTGAGTTAGGCTGATTGAAATTAACCAGCTAATATATTGTTAGTGGAGAAAATGTATGTAAGAAAAAAACAGTGCTACAGGCTTGTTCATTCCACAGAAGTCTTTCACTCGGCTCCATTTTTAGTGACAGGCACTTCACATAGCATAAATCTTGGTAGGTAAGTTTGCCTAAAGCTTATGCCGTCTGTCAGCTTGGATGTATACAGATTTAGATACATATTTTGACATGTATTTTCATAGTTGTCTTTACATCAACACATTACCTATAGGTATCTAGACTGTGTACATGCAAGTGTACAGACATGCTTAATACATATATACTGTAATCTGTTACAATAAATAAATTTTAAATCATCTTGCAATATGTATGTGGTACTTTTACAATGTATAATGTTTTCATTATTATTCACTATAACATTGAAAACCAAAGTGCGGGAATATAAAAAAGTATCCCAGCATCTTCCTTGTGTACATTTGGAATTACTTTCATTTGGGCACATCCACGATAGACTCAGCTTAAAAAGGAACCTTGGATAGTATTTACTCATCTAAGTAAGAATGATGATAACTTCGGTTGAATAGCTTTATTCTGCATTTCTCGTGACTAAAGCTAAATCCAAAGATCAGAAAAGGACAAAAAAGAAAGGAAAGGAAAAAAGAGAAAAAATAAAAAGAAGGGAAAAAATAACAAAACAAGCAGAAACCAATGGGAAAAAGTAGGCTTTGGCTTCCAAGGTTGAGGTAAAGGGTGATGTGGTGTGAAGGGACTGTACTAGCTAGTGGGGGTGGGGTTATTTTTTCTCCACTTGTCACACCTAAACGGTCCTCAGAATGCTTCGTATTCATTAGATTGTAGAAAGGGATTATACACTTTGTTCATCAAAAATGAAGACATCCCCCAAAGTATTTTTTGTCTTGTCGTTTTGGGTTATGACCCAAGCAAAATATCATTATGTAATTAATTTATTTAAATTAGTGTCTAATACACAAATGTATAGGTCTTGAATAATTATTTAATCATTTTTCTTTAGTTTGATTTTACTCCTTGTACTTATTTATCAAAATCTAGACCAGTGGTGCATCAGAGATGCAAAATCCTATTTAGAATATTCTTGAAGTTTAGTTTGCTTTATAAGCAGTGAAGTTTTGTTACAGACAGGGAAGAAATACAGATTGCAAAAAGAAGAAAAAAGAATTTGGGGTATTTTTCCTTCTTGAATTAACTTTTAAAATAGTTTAATGATTATTAAATTATTTAATTTAAGTTCACAGCCCCACCTGGCACCAGGCAAGTTCCACCTCTTATTGGGGCCCTCAGAACCTTCATACTGTAACTTATTTATTTAACTTATTCAGCATCTGTGAAAGATGCATTGTATAGTTTATATTTTTATTTAAAACAACAGAGAGCACTGCAGTTTGTTTGCTGTCAGAACAACAGAGCAGATTTTGTGGACAAGCAATGACTACTCAACCTGAACTGTGCATTTGGGAAACATAAATTGAGACCCTGCTTCACCAGCCTGGATTTCGGGGCTTCTATGTGGAAACTGGAAAAATAAATTTTTAAAAAAATCATAAACAAAAAGAGAGAAACCCTTACACTAGCTGCTTCCAAGAATGAACTCTGTGTGTGTGTGTGTAAAGCAACAAAACAGAAAAGGAAAAAAAAAAGCAGAAAAAAAAGGAAAAACTTTCTATTTCTAGTGAGAACCAAAGAAGGCTACCTCACTGACTTTTTCCATTTGTAATTTTAATCGTGTTTATGACACCAAAGATACCAAAGATTTATTTCTCTGTGCGGTCTGCATTTTGCTTGTGCTCTTTTATAATTTAACTATTCTGTCTGACATATGGTATGTACAGCCACAGCTCAGATACCCCAAAGAAATAATTATCTGTGATGGTGGCTGCTAATGTAGAAAGGGATATTTTCTGTGTTTCCCTCATTTGTTTGCTGCCCCTCCACATGTTCAGATGCAAGTATGGATGTTGCTTTCATTGGGTTCCCTAACCTGTGATTCCTAATTGATGGAGACTGGTGAAGATGGCCTTCAGCTCCAGCCCCTGTCCCTGCTGTGGAGCTATCACAGGAAAGCGGTAACAGCTGGGCCATAGAAACGCTACCTGTTGGACAGTAGAGTATAAAAGGACTACAGGCTTCATCCAGGCAAGCCCTCTCTGTGACCTAGAGCAGTGAAATCATTGCCCAAGTCAAGTTACACCAGAGCCAAAGCCACCAATGTCTGCTCCCTCTACCCAGTGCTCTGAATATTGGGTGACACTATCACTGTGCCACTTCTGCATGACACTGGTCACATGGCAGGCAAGAAAGTGGCAGTCCTGCAGCTATAAAGCTAGCTCCAAGCACTTTCAGTATCTTATCTAGTCCAGCCCCACAGAGTTACATACGATCCAGTGCTCAGTAAGGTGAACAGTCTTGGAAGTCTTAGGTCTCAGTCAGAGGTTTCTACCCTGGGAAGCACACATTGACCCAAACAGTGTGATCAGTTTTGAGCCTCTGCTTTATAAAGTGTTGTATAAATAAACTTGTAATTCAGTAGGAGGAGAGAGCTCATTCTTGGCCCATTGAATTTAATTATGGACACTTTAAGGTCAGTACTTACCCTGAAAAGAAATGTGACTATAATTTGCAAATACAGCATTTCAATGATCAGCTTTTCCTTTATCCTTTCCTTATAGATGTTTACATTTCATTCCTAAGTCACATCTGTATTTTAAAGAGTCTTACATTTTTATGCTAAACAGTTATTCATTATAAATGAAAAATGAGCCCAAAATTTCAGATGAATGGATGTGCCATTTTAAAAAATGGTTACTTAAAATTGTTTCTCCTTTTTCTTACTCATGAAATTAATTGGTCTTCTTTAAGTTTCTTTAGATTCCATTAAATGATTAAATCACTATTAAGATAATTCATTAAGGGCTGGAGTCAGCTCAGCGACATAAGCGCCTGCCTTTTAAGGATCGTGAGTTCAATCCCCAGTACAGACAAAAAAAAAAAAAGATAATTTATCAAAGTGATTTGTATGTTAGCCAATGAATCTTTTCCAGCTTTTGACCAATGGATTTTAGACATATGCAGCTATCCACCACTAACCTATATAGCTCTTTATTGAATACTAGGAATTTGTATTTTAGATCCTTGAGCTTTTTAATAGACCATTTACACAAACAAGCTAAAAAAGGAAAAGACAAAAAAAAAAAAAAAGGAAAACACCATTTCATTCAAGACCATGTAGCAAGTAGAGAAATGTAAAAGATAGATTGACAGACTGTGAGAAACTCAGTTACCATCTTCCAAAATTCCCAAGCACCATCCTCACATATGTGAAAGTTCCTTCCTATCCAAACAAGTTTTAAACTTCATCCTTTACCTATACAAAGCAAACCTATAAGACCTTCCTTCCAAACAGCAAACTGCTTTGGCTTTCTTCCCAAAATCTTACTAGAAATAGATTGTTCACAATAACTGGGAGGCAACAAAGATGTCCTTCCTAACTCAGTAAGCAGCAGACTGCTCCTCCATAATATGCAAACATCAGCTTCCCCAGCCTTCCTACTATGAACCCCTTTAAGAGAGCTCAAAAGAGCTAATGGCAGCCTGAACACAGAAAACATCCCTCATTAGCAGACCCCTCCTCAGCAAATCCCCTCAGCCTCATGCTTCACTTGCAAAGTGTGACATAACCACGGGACGAGTGCCTTGCTTGAACCAAAGCAACGATTTAGCCAGTCTGGACCTCTCTGTGCTTTTTTTAATCCTTCCTGTGAATACCTCAGCTTCAACTGGGCCTCCATACAGTACATTGGAGGGCTTATTGTACTGTGGTGCTTTGCAATGCAACCCTGCAAAGAACAAGATTTGTACTAATACCAAAGGTTCTTTCTCGATGTCTCTTTCTTCTGCCTCCCATTCTTCCCCTTTTCTAGTTCTTCACGGTTCCAAAGCTTTAATATGAACCTGGGCATGTTGGCAATGCAGACCGCGCAATTCCTTACCGAATTTTCTCAGATATACCTCATAGATAATAGTGTTTAGAGTAATGTTATTATAGCGTATGTAATAAATTATTCACTGTTTCTTTTGGTAACTGTAATTTAAAAAAAGAAAAAAGAAAAAAAAGCTTTATACGTTTTAGGTTGTGCTTTTGTAATAGAGAACAGGTGCGCTTAAAGAAGAAATGTATGTTCTTTTCCCCCCCGCCCCTTTGGATTTTATTTATTCTGGATTGGGGAAAGTTGCAGAATGAGCCCAAAGTTTACAGTTTCATATTTTGCTGAAGAAACAATCTGTGTTCATTTGCTCTGTTGAAAAAAGAATTATTTTCTACATTTGTGCTACTTGGTCTGAACAATTAATTGTTCTGTGTTAACAGTGTAGTATTATGATTAGCAACTGCCAATCAGTGCTATAATTTTATGCATGAGGCTAAAAATTTAGCAGTGTGATGCATTGTGGTCTTAATAGCAGCATTTTTCATTTTGAACTAGATCTTCCCCTTTGGTTCTATGGATATTATTTATGCATGGGTGCCTATCGTTTGTTAGCAGTCGTGGAACAGTTGTGTATACATTAAACTGTGAAAATGTACACAGTTCAGCCTCAGACAGTGATGACATTGGTTTTATTGAGATATGTCTCACCTCGAAAATACTTTAACATCTGTTGGGATTTCAAACTGAGATTAAATTGGGTTCAAACTTTATAATGAAAAAGGTCATTCCAAGTTTGAGTTAGCCAACTTTCATTCCACAAATTGGGATCTTCATAACCCAAATATATCACTATATCTGACAGAGATTTGGAAAAGGGCATTGAAGAGCAACTCACCTCTGCATTTTTAATTTCCACAGAGATTACTTATTTTGGCTTTATGCTTACAACCTTAGACCAAAGTGGCTGGGTAGACGGTGATGTAAGTCATCCGGCTCTAGCTCTCTTGGGTCTCTGTTTAAAATGGTTATTTTTGACTGTGTGGTTCCTTATAATATTTTGTTGTCAGGGAAATTCCCAGTAGAAATTCAAATAGCATCAATATCAATAATTCTTTTCTAGGTTTTTTGGGGGGAAGTTCACTTTCTTGAACATCTCCACCATCTTACAGTTCCAGTTTTAGGCAAAAATACGTGGTCATTCCCTAAAATTTCACCTGTGCAGCTGTATCATGGATTTTGCTTCTTAAAGTGAGGGGCGATTCTGATATAAGGTTTACCTGTACTAGCAGGTTATACCTCTCTTCTACATTTCCAGACTCAATTTAGAGAAACTATTTTTAAATTCTCCAATTACCTGATATAAAAAAAATTTTTATATTTGGGTTCTGAGATCCATCCTCAAGGTTCATACTTATTTCTTCAACCAATAGGCTTACATAAGTCAAGTCTGCTGTCAAGCAGACTTCATTCTGCATTGGATACTGTTTTGTTATGTTTAATTTTACCCTCTTTAAAATAAAAATTTTTTTAAAAATTTTTTAAAAGGATACTGCAGAAAACAATGACAGAAACACAGCAATCTGCTATGCAAAATATTGGAAATCACCGACAGACAGTAGAGCATTCATATTATCTGTCAATGAGAATATGTTGGGAATGTGTTTTCTTGAGGAATACAAAGAAACATTTTCATTTGGCCTTATAAAGTAGATTGTGATAATGAACACTTTGTAATATAGCCTTTTTACTTTTTCTTTTATTAATCTGCCAAAGACGGGAATGGATACAAGAATTTTAAAATTGGCTTTTGTAAGACAGGGAATGATTGTAATAGTGTTTAATCATTCAGAAAACTTCATATGTTCTTCCGCAATAAGTCAAATGGATATTTGTTTCAGTAAATTCTCCTGATACTCACAAACCTACAAACTGTTCCTCTCGATGCAGATATTGTAGTATCTACAAAGTTCAAATGCATTTTCCATCCAGAGAAAACAGAGGGGTGTCTGAGATGTGAGCATGTCCAACCCTTTTTATTATAGGCAATGTGGGGCTCTGGCCTACTAGGATTTGCCAAGACTTGTCTTATGAAATTCAAGGTATATTTTGTTTGCCATTTTATGTCCTTTTTTTAACTTTGTGGAAAGTGATATGTTGAATCAAGTGTAAGCTGAGTTTTCCAGACAACTGAAGTAGCTACATTGTGAATGTTATTTTGTTATTAAAGGGTTTTTACTCAATACTTTGTGCCAATGGATGTCCTTTTCCTTGGAGACACAGAACTATGGAATTATCTCACGTTGGCATGGTTTTCCCTCCTGCCCTCCTGGGAGAACATGAGCCTAGTCTAGGAAACCAAAGAAGGTCGTGGGCTAGAAGGTAGGTTTGGGAGACTAAGGAGAGATATCCATATTTGTCAGCTTTAAAGAGAGCTGGGCCCAAACTCTCTAACCTCCCTTGCTTTGCATCCCAACACTTCTCTGAGATTCCTTGGCCTTGAGCACATGCCAGCATGAAGGCAGACCTCAATTCATTGAAAGGCAGAAAGAGAAAACGGCAGCCTTACATCTTCTGTGACCGACCCTCAGGTACTCTTGCCGCAGAAGCTGTGGTGGCCCACCTGGTCGGCTCTTCCTGGACCAGCAGTGAGAGACATTCTTCCACCCTCACTGCTCCAAGGGGCCTCGGTTCACGCAATGCAGCGGGGTTTTCTAAACTAAAAGCATCCTTCCCATCCATTTTCTGCATGATAGTTAGCTATCCCATTCATAAATGTTGAAGATGATTTTTTGAAGAGCAGAAAATGGTATGGAGTAGGATTTTCTAATGTTTTATTTCTAAGTTACATTTCACTTTCCCGTTTTGATCTGGAAATGTTCAGGAAGGAAAACGAGACCCCTCTGTGCCTCGCTCTCATCTAAGGACAGATGTGTACATTGCCATCCTGTTGCTGTCTCTTAGGGTCATGCTAAACTCTAACTATAGAGCCAAGCAGGAGCATAACCCATCAGTGCTTGAAACTCAAAAAGTTGTGCAAGTTGGGTCACCTAATAACCCTTGCCTTGGCTCAGTTGGCATTTAGCTCAAGAGTCAACTTACTATTTAAGAAAGATGACTTCAGATGCTGTCAGGGAACTTGCTACCTGGGAAGAAAGATGTGAGTATCCAGACTTGCCCTAGCTATTGTGTAGGTAGTTACATCATTGACAGATACTTTTCTCAAGGTAAAATATTTTTCCTTTCTTCATTATGTCGTGTGTTATCAAGCCCAGGTGGTCCCAGCAAATTTCTCATCATGAGAGGTTATAAAACATCTGGTATATTGGACTTTCTGAAACAAGTACAAACTGTACATGTGAGAAATTGATAAAGAATTGATGAAGTTTTGAGGGAGAGACTAACATGATATAATAAGATCCTGACTTAGGGACATTTGAGTTTTAACCCCCACAGGTGTACTGTATAAGACTCATTTTTTTCAGATATCAACAAATCTAACATACATTTTCCCTGAATGGAAATCCTTTGCAAATCGGGGACTTACAGTACAGTCATAATATTGATATTGGTTTCTTTTTTAATCTCTGTCTCCAGTCACTTATTTTTCTCCTCAATCCAAGAACAGTTCAGTCTTTTCTCCATAAATCTAGGATGCCAAAGAATTTCATGGGCAAAGGATCATTAGGAATTGACCAACGTTCTCTTTCTCATCCTTTGCTTTTCTCAAAGAAAGTGTTTCCATGGACTGCAGAGAAAAGGCCCAGCCAATTTTTCATCCTTCCTAGGCGAATATTTCTACCCAAGCTAATACTTCATTAGTGTAGTTTCCACGGATTCTCTCTTGTTCAGTGATTTCTTAGAAGAAGAAAAAATTCTCCCACAGAAGTGAGAGATGAAAGAGATTTTTCTTTCATCTAGTTTTCTCAGGATCTAACTCACTTCTGGCTATTTTCTTACATTAGGTGTTGTCCTCAGATCTGTATATTTTTATTAAAAATTTCACTTAATTTAACATGCTGGCCTGTGGGGCTTGAATCCTTTCTTCTCTTCGTTGATTGCCTTATGGTATGACTATAATGAGAGAAAGGAGGTGAAGAGAGCATAATTTGCCCCAGCTCTGTTTAAAGTTTAAAAAGGAAAAAAAGACCCATGGGCAAGTGGTTGTCTAAACTATGGGTCCCCAAGTCAAAGACCATATTCCGTCACCTGCTTGCGAAGTTGCTCTGCCAGAAACTCAGCCCCCTCAATAGAAACCCAGCTGCCTGTCATAGGTCCCTAAGCAGAGTCAACAAGGACAAGAGGACAGAATCATGTGCATACCTCCTGTTCTTTTCTTTAATTTTATACTTATGAACTCCAAGAAAATTATAGTGAAAAACTTCTAATCTGTTATCTTCAGTCAGTCCCTTTGGCATCACTTCTCATGCTTAAAACTAGGAAAACACATCCCTAAAACTTGTACTTCCTTCTGTTTTGAAAAAGAAAACCCAAACACCGATCCACATTATTTTCTTTTCACCCTGAGCTATATTCCAAAGTATATAGTATCCTAGATTCTGCCCTGTCTCAGACACATGAAGTCAGGTAATGAAAGATGTACTAGGGGTGGGTATCTGGGCGTATGTTTAGTGAAATCCCAATAGGGTAAGGATCAGACTTCATTATCTAGAGAATAAGTTCTCAGTGCTCCAGAAGATTTCTTTGACTGTTAGTTGGATTTTCAAGTTTGCTCATGGCCCACCCTGATGTTCCGTCTGCAACACTGCTTACACTGGATTATTTCTATTTTTATTTCTATCATTAAATGGTAGTGCTGTAAATTCTGCAATTAATGTCAAATAAACTGCTTTAATTCATTGAGCATGACTCCCTTTCCTTCTTTCTCTTTTGTTAGAAATAAATGAGCACTTGGCTGGGTTTAGTGGTGAGTGCCGATAGACCCAGCTACCCAAGGGGTGAGGCAAGAGGATCACTCAAGCCCAGGAATTTGAGGACAGCTTGAACAACATAATGAGACTTTGTCAAAGAAAAGAATAATTTTACTTCCTCCTACTGTATCCCATTATAGTTCCATAAAGAACACTAAAGTTGTTGTATTTAGACCACAACTTCAATCTCTGATGGGATGCAAGACATGTAATCGACAAATCTGTTGTCCTCATTATTAATCACAAGGTTAGGAATTCCCCATAAATTACCTTGTTCATAACATAACTTTAAAGCTTTAGAGATAACCTAGCCTAGCCTTATTTTTCTATAGATTCTATAAGGTCACATGAAGTTCACAAAAGGAGAATCAGATCATTGTCACCCTTTAGAAAAGCCAAGAAATACAGACAAATTTGAAGCCAGAAGGCCTCATATGGAATGTAGACTCACCAAAAATTAGTTGTAAAGAGTCATGTAAACTCTGGATTTCAGTTTCTCCAACTATGCAAGTTAAGGTCATGTAGAATAAGTAATGTATAAAGTCCTTTCCAGCTTTTGTTGATCCAAAGGTCTTATAGACATTTCCACTTTTTGTACAGATTGGATATTGGCTTATTATTTTTTATAAACTAATGAATCAAAAGAGTTCTTTCTTTTTAAACTTAGATATCTTCAAGTTTCAAAGAAGTCTCATTAAGTCAAGCTTTTGAACCAGCCCGCCTGTAACTCATCCCTTGAGGCACTGGACCCTTTATCTAGAGTAGTGATTGTCAACTGGCTATATATTAGAGTCACCCAGAGAGCTTTGAAAACATACTGAGCCCATCCTAGACCAGTTAACCTGATTCAGTGTGAGTGAACCTCAAACATGGTTGCCTCAGGTGGCTTTTGCTGCAAAAACAATCTAAAATTCAGTGACTTAGTAGAATAACTATGTATCATCTGATACACCATAAATATTAACAATTAGTAATGTGTCTAAACACAAATATCATTGTAAAATATTTCAAAAGAGCAGTTGTGCGTATAGTTCTAGAATCTTTTGGTTGTCAATTTGAGCTGATCCTAGCTGGTGGTTGTTCTCATTTTCAATGGGTCCACATCTGCTGTCAACTTCCTGGTTGGCTGTAAGCTGTAAAGTCTCAGTAGCCTTAGTTTGGACAGTGACTTTTGTTGTTTTTCATCTCCCAGTGGGCTGAGCAGCGGAATCCAGGGTTTGAGCAAAGCACATACAGCTCCTTGAGATCTTGGCATAGAACTGATACGATCACTTTTTTTGAATCCTACGAACTAAAGGAAATCAGAGTCCAGCCCAGATTCATAGGGAGAGGACGGGGAAGAAGCTCCGCTACTTAACAGGAAAGCAACTAATCACACTGCCAAAGACTGCAGCGTTTTTTGCATTCTACCACAATCCATAGTTTTTACTTTTTTATTTTAAAGATAGTAAAACCCAACAAAACAAGACAGAACAAAGCCAATTAAAACAGTGCAGCTAAATTGGTGCAGAACTTCAAAGCAGGATACCAGGAAAACAATAGCTACCATAGTATAGCTTGTTATCTTCACAATAGTTGTCTATTCTATCAGGTATAGCAAAATCAAACCAAAAACAAAACACAATAAAACCAATCAAAGCAGAACATTGAATAAGGCAAAACAATCAGAACAAAAGCAAAATAGTGGAAACAATATTGGACTTCAAAGACAAAACAGAAGGAAATCTCCCATATTTGCTATATTGCATTTTGTCATCCTCCCAAGGGACGCTCAGACCACTGGCTCCAGGCCTGCATAATCAGCCAAACAATACAAGCACTTAGTTGCTTTATGTACCTTAGTTGCTATCAACTCAGCCTGTCCTTTGAATCAACTGATTGAGGCTGACAGAGGGGAGTGGGACAGGGACACATGAAAGGTGTTTGATTCTCAGCCAAAGGGTTGGTAGGCTCACAGCGGGTGCTATCTGACTTTTCTCTCCCTGGAAACTATGAGGCTTCTGCAGCTTACAGGAAGGCTGGCTAGTTGATTTCTTAGTTGGTCCCTCAAGTCCCAGCATGCCCAATTCTCAGGAGATGCTGGCTTTTTTCTGATAATCCATAGTTTTGAAAGCTCTTCCAGAGATCCTGATACACAACTAAATTTTCAAAACACAACCATAAAGTGAACTGTTTCCCTACTTTTTCCATAATCCCAATCCTTTCTGTATCAACTCTTTTAGATGCTTTCATTGTGTAGTATGAAAAAATAAAATACAGCCTCCATACTTGCAAATAATTATTAGGCATAGGCAGAATTTATGTGAATTGAAAAATCACCTGAACCAGGGTGAATTAGACACTTATGACAAAAGGGCGTCTTAGAGAACAGCTGGATAAACATTTCCAGCTTATGCCAAAACTAAACTAGATGAACACCAAGCCCTCTCCCAATTTTGCTATCCCCAGCCTCCCTTGTCTCTCAGAAAGTAAAACAATGACTCGAACTGACCAATCTCAAGGCTAAAGGTCTCTGGCCTCCTATTAGCCCCTTCAGGATAGTCAAAAACAGAGAAATGTCATTGTCTAGGAAAACCCTTTGAATGGCACACTGGGCTCATTGGAGGAAACTATTTCCTTGTTTTGGTAGCTCATTGACATGAGGTCATCCATTCATCTAACCTTTGGTTAAAGCTGTTTGATGATATGGAGCAGCCTTTAGACAAAAGACTCTAAATTATTGTTTACAGCTGTGGCAAACCTATTCTTACTTTTTTTTTTTTTTTTTTTTTTTTTTTGTCTTTTTCATTTTTACTGGTACCAGGGATTGAACTCACGACCATCTGCTTACAAGGCAGGTGCTTATGCCGCTGAGCTAAATCCCCAGCCCCCTATTCTTACTTTTATTGGTCCCTGGACTCTTCTCTCCTTAAAGAGCCTATGTCCAAGGAGGTGAATCATTTGCAAGAAGAAAACTGAACACAAAAATAAATCCATATAAAGCTATCTGGCATAAGCAAGCATTTGTTAGTCCATAATGGTTCACTAAGCATAGTCATTTCTAGAATTAATAGCGATGGTAGTTGATTAGGAGTGTAGCTCTATGGTGCAGTGCTTACCTAGCATGAGGTAACCTAACATGAGGCCCTGGATCCAACACCAGCACCACGAAAATGAATGAATGAATGAATAAGTAAATAATGATGGTGGTAGCCAACCATGGTGGAAACTATTATGCTATCACCTCTAGAATTGTTCCTCATTGCCCTGCACATCAACCTTGCAGGGTGCATATGTTAGGACAAGAACCATTATTATGCCCTCATCACAAATACAAGAGCTGGGGGGCAACAACATAAGGACCACATGGTAGCAGTGTCATCTGAACCCAGGAATCAGAATCAGTCTTATGCACTGGCCACCCAGTGTGACACCTGGACATCTACACAGCAATCAGGATTGCTTCATTTGGTTGGAATGGTACAACATATACCACCAAATCACTCCTGCTGTGGAGCTATAACTTTTTACTACCAAAAAAGTGGCAAAAATAAAAGCCAAAAGTTCAGAGAAATAAAGACCATGCCAATCTGGGATAGCAACAAAAAGTAAACTAACAAAATAAACCCTCTCTTTTCATTAAATTTCCAAGTACTACATTTTTATTGTTAAATGGAATTGAGCATGACTCAATTCATGAGAGCAAATTATGTCCCTTCTCTCAGGTAACCATCCTCAAATGTACAGCATGTTCTTCCAATCAGTAATATTTAGATGTCTGAATCATGCCTCTATTCATACTTCTATCTTTGATTTGACAGAAAAAAATAGAACTTTGTTTCAGAATATTTTCACCCATATCTGAGGTCTACCTCTCAATAATATGCAGTTCTGAGACAAACTTAAATTTTCTTTTCTATAAATTGAATGGAATCAGCCTGGTTACAAAGCTACTATCAAAAGCATGATATATATGGATATGAGTTCTCACTAACATATTAAGAAAACTATCGTTTTATAAAAGAGCAATCTGGAGCTTTGAGAGGTTGGCTAACTTGCGCTAGGCAACACAGTAATGGAGCCAACATTTGCACCCAAGACTGTCAGCCTTAAACATGCCTGAAGCACAAGAAAATGTTCACTAATTATGGAGTAAAAGTCACATTATGGCATTTGTGGCAACGCACATCTGTAAATACCAAGTTCTAGGCTGTTACTAAACAATTACCCTCGACAGCAGAAATGTAACTGATAGAAAAATTTAAAAGTTTGTTTGTTCTTCCCTGAAAGGACTTTTCATATAAACTCTCATGAACTGACTTATATTAGTTTGGTCATGTGTGACACTTAAATTCTTGTGATACCTACTTAGAGGTTTTATGATGGGCAAGATTTGCTTGCTGCCTCATGAGTCCCTGTCAAATCCAAAATAAAGTAAGTCCAAGATAAATGCTGCTACATACAGACATTTATTTAACATATTTTAGTAAGAAAATAGGTACAGAAACATGCATACCATCTGGCTCAACAGAGATCCCTCTGTTTTTGGAGACCCTAGGCACATGCCAGATTCATCTCGCCACACTCCCAAGACAGAAGCCTGTGACTCTTGGGCAACACCAGACAGCAGGAAACCTCCCAGCTTAAGGACTGAACATAGGAACATTGAGGACCAACCTCCTGAGTATCCTGCAGTGGGGGGAGCTAAAACTTCCCCTGGAGTCTCAGACCTTGTGCTGGCAAGGGGGTAAAGCAGGGCTTCTCCAATCTACTGTCTCGCGCACCTTCCGTTTTACCAGTCACCAGAATCTGTGCGTAACATTTCTCATGATGATTAATAAGTGATTATTTTCACATCGAAACATACTTCTGTCACTGAGATGTAGGTAATCGAAGCATCAGCCATTGCCTTGGGGTGGGATTGCTCACTGACCCCCCGCCCAGGGGTGCACA